CCCAACCGACGGGAGGGGCACCGCACCCGCACGCGACGAGCCACCCCCCGAACGAGGGCAGGCAACAAGAGCCAATGTCTCTTAGTACAAACCAAGTAAAAGAGATTTTAAAAAAACATTAATACAAAGGAAATTAGTGGTTGGGCTATGAAATTTAGGGGAACATTCTGCTTGGGCTGCGAGAAAGGGAAAGTAGTTGGCTCAATGGAGATTCAATAGGAATGTCCAACTACCCGGCCTAGCCACCACCATTTGCAACAGGGGTGGAAAACTCACGAAATGATAAAAGGGGGCAACTATGAAACAAAACTCAAACAAAAAGAAACAAACGGGAGGGGGCGTGTCCACCAGGTCGTAATTTAGGGAAAAACGGGGCTACGACCAGCCCCAAGTAAGGTTTTTGGGGAAGGGGGTGGCAAGGGATGAGAAAATTTGCAATGGGCTTACCCAGACGCGGCACTTCGTTCGGGGAAACGATCAGCGCTGTCGCATTGCTCCGGGCGCAGCCGGGTGTTCGGCCAATGCGAAAGGTATTTGGAAAAGCGCCGGAAGCAACATGACAGTCCTCACTTCCGGCCGCTGATGTCATATTGGCCGAGGCCCGTCCGTGCATGTGCAAACCCGCTTCTTTTCCGCTGAGCACGGTCTGCTCCTCCTCGGCGACTAATCCATGTAACCCAGAATCTTCGAGGATTCCCACGGTGTTTTGTCTCCGAGGAAAAACACACCGAATCCAGCGTCCAGGTCCGTAATCCGCGCGTTCCCGACCACTGCCAGGGGTACTCATTTCAACGCATTTAGGGGGATTGAATTTGAGGCGGGTGGGTTTTTTGGGGTTGAGGGCTCGCTAGCGCTTGCCCTCATTGCATCTTTATCTGCAAGAAGTGTTTACACATAAGTACTCGATGGACGCTTTAAATCAATACAAGGTTCTTTGCTTGGCCTTGAGTAAAGACGCCTTCATATGTACTTTCCTAGACAAAGACTATCTAGAATTCGGGAATCATCGTAAGCAAATTGAACATTATAACATAATTTACGCGGATTTTGAATCATACGTAGAAGAGATTCATGTTGGTTCAACGCATTCAACGTCTGCATATTCCCACCATAAACCCATGTCGCACGCCTACCTGTTCGTGACGGAGGATTCCGTTTTTCAAATGGCCCGACCAAAGCTTTACCTTGGCGAGCAGGCCCATATCAAATTCCTCGAGGAGATCATCGATCTCGCAGAGAGGGTCACAAAATGCTACAACGATAAAGAGACCGGAATTAAAATGACAGAAGCAGATCAGGTCTCTTTCGAAGCCGCAGATAAGTGCGGTCATTGTAGTTTAGATTTCTCACTGCCCGGCATCGTAAAAGTCAGATATCATAATCATCAAAAGACAAAAAAGGAGTCGAACTATCGCAAGGCTGTATGTTCCAATTGTAACTTAGTATTCACACACGAATAGTGTGTAAAAGTCACCCTCCATAACGGATCGAGATACGATTTTTACGACGTAATGCCAGCTCTAATCAAGTTTCCTCACCGTTTGGACATAATACCGCACACGGAACAGAACTACGTCAGTGTGACTGTCCATGTGGGAAAAAGGTTCACGGTCAAGTTTATCGATTCCTTCCGCTTCCTGCCTGCATCGTTGGATAAACTGGCGCAAACGATACCGCGCGATTCGTTCGTGCGGACAAGGAAGCTGTGTCGCACGCAGGAGGAATTCGAGATGGTTCGTCGAAAAGCTCCCTTTCCGTACGGTTATATTAACAGTCTGGGGAAAATGAACGAGAGGAGTCCACTACTGCAAGAGGCGTTCTTCAATAGGCTGAGTCAAACACACATTCACGAAGAGGGACATGGACGGTTCCTTCAAGTGTGGCAAGTTTTCCGTTCCGCTAATCTTCGCGAGTATTCCAATTTCTACTTGCAACTCGACGTGTTCCTCCTCAGTGACGTATTCGAGGAATTCCGCCAATTCGGGATGAAACACTACGGATTGGACTGTGCGAATTACCTGACCCTACCCGGTTTCGCGCTTGACGCCTTTTTCGAAAATGAGTAAAATAAAGATCCAACTTTTCAAGGACATGGATATGGTGTTTATGATTATGAGCGCGATCCGAGACGGTATAACAAAGGTGGTAAACGTCACGTTGTGGCCAACAATCCGCTGGTGCCGGAGCAAGTTGGTCAACAAATACCACTGACATACACCCAATATCTCGATATAACGACACTGTACGCACACACCATTAGCAAACCTCTACCATATGATTACTACAGTTGGGCCCCCAAAGCACAGCAATTATCGGATCTGGCGCAGACTTTTCCGAATCTACCCGACGACGCTCCTTGCGGCTACGTCCTCGACGTTGATTTATTCTATCCGGAACACCTCCACGATCTGCACAAAAATCTCCCGTTCTTGTGTAGAAATGAAGCACCACCGACTGGAGCGGCAAGAGCACCGAAACTGTTGTTAGCTCTTTCAGCTAAATTTTAGGCAATTTTGAGATAAATTACAGTAAGATAAAAAATACCAAAAACTTACAACAGAATGTTGTGACCTAACCACGGAGGTCCAACTTTAAATTTTCTTGAAACGAAACTGTTACAGCTGTTAGATAAATGCTATCGTGGTAACGGAGGACGGCAAATTGCAAGCCATTCATGAAAATAAGCCAACTTATTTTAATCTCAGCAGGTGATAAATATCATGAATGATATCATAATCCAAAATTGAGAAAACTATAGTGATTTAATATTTTGGACATGATCGTCCACAATTCCGTTTAGACACATCTTTTTTTGGAACATATTTTTTGTAGGACATTCTTCCTAATAGGACATTTTTTAATCATGGAAATTCTTTTTGGGACATTCCTTTAATTGGACATTTTAACTAGGACATTATTCTTATTGGATATTTCCTACTGGACATTTCCACTGAGCACCAGCCCGAGTCAGGTGGTGTCAAGTAAACATACATACATTACAGTCGCTTTACAGCGCGCTCGGGCGCTCTGCGACACTTAATCGCCATCCTTGCCTATCGATCCAGAGGTCATCTGGTAGATGGCATCTTGTAATCTCATCTTGAATGCCACGAATCCACGATTTTGCTGGGCGTCCCCTACGTCTTCTCCCAGGAGGAACCCAGTCTAGCACCTTCTTAGGCAACCTATCATCCGCCATTCGTTGAACATGACCATACCAGACAAGCTGTTTGGTCATAATTTCGTGCACGATGTTCTGCTCGGCGTTCATGATCTCACGGACTCTTTCGTTCCTTACGTGATCTCTCCTCGAGATTCCGGCTGATCTTCGCCAGAAATCCATCTCAGTTGCCTTAAGAATCTTTTTGGTACGCTCTTTCATGGGCCACACTTCACTGCCGTAGGTCAGAATGCTTTTGATTATGGTGTTATAAATCATTCTCTTTTTTTCTTTAGAGATACTTTGATCCCAAAGAATCCTATTTAACATAGCAATAGCTTTCCTTCCCTGCAGGTTTCGATCTTTTATGGCTTGGTCCATCTTTCCATCCTGGGATACTCGAACTTCTAAATATTTGTAATGCTCGCAGCTTTTAATACACTGTCCATCTTCCAGCTCTATGTCTTGCTGATCCCCTCCAATCGTCAACTTTTCCGTTTTCTTGACACTGACCTCTAGGCCCCACCTTCGATATTCTAGCACTAATTTCCGAGTCATGTATTCAGCGTCATCCGCATCCTGCGCGATCACCACCTGGTCATCAGCAAAACATAGAGTATACAATGTGTCCGTATCATTTAGGGGAACGCCCATGCCAGAGCACTTCTTTTTCCACTCTTTTAAAACGTGTTCTAGAAAGATCTTAAATAAAGTAGGTGACAGACAACATCCTTGTTTTAAACCTTTAGAAACATAAAAACCACCAGATAACCTCCCTTGACATTTAATTCTAGTAAAACTTCCACAGTAATATTTCTTAATCGCATTCACAAGTCCATCACTAAAATTCGATTTTTTCAGGGCTTCCCAGAGTTTCACTAGTGGAACGCTATCATACGCTTTCTGAAGATCAACGAAAACTAGATGGAGCTCCTGTCCTACGGCCATTTTTTTCTCAACCAGTTGTGTGATACAGAATAAATGGTCGACAGTTGACCTACCGGCCCTGAATCCTGCTTGCTCCTCTGCTTCATATGGAGCCCACTCTTCTTCGATTTTAGCTTTTAAAATTTTCCCGTAAATTTTACTAACTGTCCCTACGACAGATAGCCCCCTGTAGTTTTCGCAGTCATCCTTCTTTCCTTTTTTGTGCTTAGCTGAAATCCAGGATTCTTTCCACTCTTTCGGTACTTCCTCGCCCTTAATGCAACGATCAAACAAGTCCCTTAGAAGCTGAAATAACTTTCCCGTTCCGCATTTCATCAACTGTGATGGTATATCTCCAGCCCCTGGAGCTTTAACATTCTTTAATTCCTTGATTGCCTTCACAACTTCCTCGAGTTTAACCTCAAGGGACTGTGTTTCTTCGTTACATTCTGCAGCACTATCTTGAAACTCGGGTCGCCCTTCCGTCAATAATACTTTAAAATGGTCCTCTAGTTGGTTGATTGTAATCGGAGATATAATATCCTTCTTCATGTTCCTTCGCAAGCCTTTTAGCAATTTCCAGCTTTCCGCACTCCTCCTTCCTCCCAGGTACGTGTTAATTTTGGAACAGTTTTTTTCCCAGGACTCGTTTTTCTTTTTCGTAATGAGTCTTCGTACCTTTGCTTGCGCATGTTTGTAAGCAATTTTGTCCTCATCACTCTTGGAGTGAAGGAAGGAGTGGTACTTTCGCCTCTTTGCATCGATCTCTTCCTCAATCTCTTTGTCCCACCAGTAAGGTTTGCATTCAGTGGTGATCTTTTCGCGCACTCCAAGGGCCTCTCTAGCCGCAGCGTGGATGCAAGTCTTGATGAAAAAAAAAGGATATGGCTCTGAAAGTTTGGGATGCTATGATATGTTCTTTAGCGGCGTAAGCAAAGATCAGCGGGCCCAGCAAGGAGTGGCGATTTTAGTTCGGAACGACTTACGTAAATGCATAACTTCTTGGGAACCGATCAACGAACGAATCGTCAAAATGAACGTTACTGTGTATGGTCATAAGATAACCCTCCTTGGAGTGTATGGTATCAACGATGATGCGCCAGTGGCAGCTAAAGACCAGTTCTTTGAGCTCCTGAACGATGAAATCTTAAAAGTTGGAACCTCAAGGGAAGTTATCGTCTTAGGCGATTTGAATGGAAGAACAGGACACCGGATTGATTGCAAGGTCGTTGGTCCATTCGGTGAAGATGTGGTCAATGACAACGGGAACCGCATCATCGAAGTCTGTGAGCAAAACGAGTTAAAAATCTTAAACGGATTCTTTCAACATCGGGATATTCATAAGTATACGTGGGTTCAACGTACTCGAGACTTAAGATCCATCATCGATTATGCGATAACAAACCAAACAACGAAGATAAAGGTTCAACAGGTGAAGGTGTGCCGAGGGTTATCTTGTGGCAGTGACCATCATTTCCTCAAAGTAGAAATAGCTTTTCCTGTTAAAAGTTTCCCACATAGCGTGCATCAACAGCAGCAGCAGCAACAGGGAGAGAAGGTCCAGCCAGTAAGGTATAACATCGATAGTCTGCACCACCAAAGTGTCAAGGATCTCTATAGGAAGCGGTTAAATGAAAAACTTGATGAAAAACAGGATTTCTGTGATGGTGTCAAGTAAAACCGAACCAAAATTTTCACCGTATTTTTGCAAAATTGTTTACAAAATTCTCAATTTTGACCTAATTTAAGTCCGGTGGTGTGGAATGACCAAATCTGACCCAATTCGAGTGGTACGGAGTGACCCAACTATCGATCTTTGATACATCAATATCGATATTCGATCCATCGATTTGAATCTAACTATCAATCTTTGAGGTATCAAAATATAAAGTAATCTAATTGTAAGTGCAGTGGTTTCGAGTAACCTGACCCGAGTTTGGTGGTATCGAGTGACCTAATCGTCCTTGGGTTTGAAGTGCTGCTGCAGTTTGTACGAGCTCCGTCCGACAAAATATTTGGCAGAACGTCTAACTAGGACTAGTGCTTTGAATATATGAAACATTTAGCAAAATCCAAGTGGGGCCGGAAAAAGCCCTTGACGCAACTCCTCCTTTGGTGTAGTGTTCGTTTTTTACAGAATTTTTTATGTCAGTTACTTCAAAATGGACGCAATTGACATTTTATCTTCGGAGGAGATGAGCTGGAATAAAGTAAAAGGGATGATTCTTTTGCACAATGATACATGAACCATTATCATTTTAAAAATCCAAAAAACGCATCATTTTATCGGCGGTGCGCGGGAGGAAAGTATGTAATGCACGCTGTATCACAAACGCCAATTTGGAAGAAATTACCATAAAGAAAAGTGGCAAAAGGAAACATACTCATGAACCGGATCATGTTGCTGCTGACGTTAGGAAGGTGGTGAATACCGTGAAAAGGAGGGCTAGAGAGTCGCCTAATGAACCCCCATTAAACAAAGGAATGGATGTAGTTGGTGCAGTGGAGGATGACGATGTTCTACTGATGATGCCTGACCGGAACTTTCTGCGGCGCATAATGAATACCACGCAGAACGAACAACGCCCGCCAGTTCATGCCTCCCTAGAAGACGTCACTATTTCACCACCGTATAATGCTACTAAAAATAACCAGTTGTTAATATTTTTGGACTCCGAAGATACTTTGCCCGACAACAGATTTCTCATTTACACAACGCAGGCCAATTTAAGAATTTTGTCAGTTTCAAGACTAATGTACGGAGACGGTACATTTAAAACTGTACCGCAACAATTTATGCAGTTATACACAATTCACGGTGCGTTTCAGGACCATGTATTTCCTCTTGTTTACGTCCACATGCAAAAGAAAACGGAGGCGTCCTACACTAGCACGCTTCAAAAGTTGTAGGATTGCAGAGGAACTTGAGATTGTCTTAGCACCAGAACACATCTGAACCGATTTTGAGGCCGCCGCCATTAGCACTTTTCGAACAGCCTTCCCTAATGCAACACAACACAGCTGCCTCTTTCATCGGACTCAAGCGATTTGGCGGAACGTCGTGAATAAAGAGCTTCGCGAACCATATCTGGATAGAGAAAATCCAGAACAGAGGAGACAGATCCAGCAAATCTTTGGATTGCCTTTTGTCCGTCTTGATGATTTGAAAGAGGTGTTCGATGCGATTGTCGCTGAAAAAGAAGATAAAGACTAACTACAGCTTGCGACGAACCTTGAAAACACGTACGTACGAGGTCATCCGGCGCGAGGTAGGAGACGGGCAAGACCTCCTCTCTTCTCGCCCCTGTTTTGGAATGTCTACCAGTCAATTCTCAACCGCATGCACTGTACAACGAACCCTGCGCAGGGCTTTCACAGCATCCTACAGAGGATCATAATTGCTCATCATATTAACATTTGGCGCTTTCTTGATTACAATAAGGATATCCAGTATGACGTCGAGCGGCTGATACTATAAATCCGAGGCGGTCACACACAGATCGAATATCCAGTCAATCGCCGTCATGTTACCAATCTGCCTTGGATTGAAAATATTGACGGAAACTATGAACAATATAAAAATGAAGAGACAATGGATGTGTACCTTCGAGGCCATCTGCGATCGACTAAAGAAGCCCACCACTGAGGTCCCACCTGCCGATGATCCTTAAAGAGGTACCACATTTTTAGCTTTTAACAATTATCGTGGACCGAAACAATATTAAGTATCTTTATTTGGACAAATTATTTTGGAAATTTTTTCAGTAGGACATAAAAGAAATTGGACAATTTGTTCATTGGACATCGCAGTTCATGGACATTTTGCGTTGGACAAACAATTTTTTGGCATTTCATCGTGGACATTTTTGGTAATTGGACATTTTGTATTGGACAATTCCACCTGTCACCCTCGGGTTAGGTTAGGTCACTCGACGCCACCTGACTCGGGTTAGGTTAGGTCACTTGACACCACCTGACTTGGGTTAGATCACAAATAAAAACCCTGTAAAAAACCTGTATGTAATACGGTAAAAGTCTAGTAAATGACACGAAAAAATCTTGTAAAAATACGAAAAAAATCCTGGCAAAATCCTGTAAAAATTACGCTCAAGTCTTCATTTCTACTTTATACTTGTAATTCGTGTTTCTGAATTCAAAATGAAGTGCGCTGATTATGATTCCAGTCAAGTTCACGTTTATGTGTACCTCGTCTTCTTGCAAAACTTCGTTCCCAAAAATATGATGTAAGTATTAAAAACAATATTATTTTGTTTGTGGATTATCTCAGTGTGTCAATAGCTCATCGCAGTCGTTTTATTTTTGTTTTTTTTCAGAAATCTGAGAATCATGCGAATAAACACAATTTGATGGCATCTCCAACCAATCTGGAGGGTTCCGAGTACAAGGTAACATTAAAATAAACGCGAACCACTTTTACTTTCTGCTGCTGGATAAGAAAAAGAGAGAGGCGTTTTAACTATCTGCTCTCGCCTTAATACATTTATGCTTTTATTGACTAGTCTATTTTTCTTCCCTTCTTCTAGGCTCGATCCCACTGAAAGATGCATACCAAAAAGATATCTTTCGCGAATCAAAGTCAGTCTCCCGTGGTGTAGTGGTTGTAGCGCTGGCCCTATATTATAACCAAGAGGTTCGATTCCCAGCCAGAGGACTCGAGTTTGATGGTCTCCCAATCAGACAATGGTGACCTTGGGCTGGTCGTAAACGTGGGATTATCCGGCGGGGGCTATTTAAAGCTTGTTAAAAAAAACAAGCCGTGAACTCCAACATGATGTGTTGACAAGGCGCGTCATTGATCAGTATATATCAACCTCATTAGTTTTCATTTCCAGAGATTTTAATATAGGCAAGCAACACATGAAAGATCCAACACTGAGAGTTAAACTACGCACTTCGGTGAGACCGTGTATTGTGAACGTAGAAAGCCATTCGAGCGAGCTTAAGTTTTTTGATCTGCTTCAAGCAAAGAATTATCAGATTCTCCAGGAACAGTGGCTATTGAAAAAATTAAAACAAACTGAAAAATATTCTATCAAACTGCTGGAAAATAAGTCGATTTAAATATATTTCGGGCCTATAATAGCCGAAACACCGGTGGTAAATCCCGTTATGTATTGAAATGAAATTGACTCTGTGAAGTAGGGTGAAAATGCCGGTTTGCGCCCAGCTGTTGTCAGATTGTGCGGAAAAATAAATAATTAAATAATTGGTTCTAAGTGGCAACAGCGCATTTTACAATGTTGCCAGATTTTGCAGAAAAATAAATATTTAAATTATTGATTAGAAATGGCAGCACCGCATTTTACAGCGTTGGGTGATAGTGCAGAAAAATGAATGATTAAATTATTGCTTCGATTTGGCAGTACCGCATTTTACAGCGTTGGGTGACGGTACAGAAATACAAACATTTAAATTATTAATTCGATGTGGTAGTATTGTATTTTACCGGGGTCAATGCGACCCTGTCGAAACTGACATCGAGCGTGCTCAGTTATACCCCGAGTCGGATCACACAACGACCAAGTCGCTTTGGCCCTCGTCAGACACCCTTTTGATCCGTAAAGTGATCGTCTCTACCCGGGGAAATCCGAACAACACTGCATTTTATGGGTGATGGTTCCAAAAGAAATAAACGGTTAAGTTATTGTATAGATGTGGTAACAGTAGGGAGAAAATGGGAATCTTAGAACAGCAAATTATCCAACAGCGTCGCATGATTGTGCAGAAAAATAGGAATTAAATTACAGCGTTGTATAGGGATTATTGTTTAATATGGCAACGCTGTAAAAAGAAAGTATTGCATGTTGCCCCTTCAATATGCGGGTTATGCAATGGTGTAATAATGCCCCTTCATTTTTCGGGTTATGCAATGGTGTATTTTTCAAGATGGCGCAGCAGCGTTGCCGAACGGGGCACGTAAATAAATGATTTATTTATTGGAGAAATTTTGCAACATCGCATTTTACAGTGTTGCCAGATGGGGCGAGAAATTACTTGATTTTTTTCGATACAATGTTGCCAATTTGTGCAAAAAAATTCGGATTTTCGGACTTGTAAAATTTTTCAGTTTCGAGAGACCGTATCTTACCATATGGGTTGGTATCAGATAGTGTAGATTAGGGTCTGATTCGGAAAATTGGAAAATTTTCGGAAAATCACCATCCTCCGATCCGCCGCGGATCGATTCGATTCTTTTCCATTATCGAAGATCGGAAAACTGTACGGACCGAATTTCGATACGAGTTTTGGTTTTCGAGATTTCGGACTTGTAAAATTTTGGCGGCTTCGAAAGACCGTATTTTACAGTATGGGCCTGGTATCGGAGACTGGAGATTAGGGTCTGATTCCGGAAATTGGATTTTCGGACTTGTAAAAATTTTTGATTTCGAAAGACCGTATCTTCTAGTATGGGTCTGGTATCGGAGACTGGAGATTAGGGTCTGATTCGGGCAATTAAAAAATTTTCGGAAAATTACCCTCCTCCGATCCGTAGCGGACCGATGCGATTCTTTTACACTATCGAAGATCGGAAAACTGTACTGACCGAATTTTGATACGACTTTTAGTTTCCGAGATTTCGGACTTGTAAAATTTAGACGACATCCACGATAGACCATATCCTACAATATGGACCTGGTATCGGATACTGGAGAGTAG